AGTGATTTAATTATACATCATTTTTTAAGTTATTGCAGATAATATTCTCACATCCATGAACAACCTGTATTACCACAGAAAAACGTTGTAAACTAAATTGGTACTATCCCCCCCCAGCTCCATTAGCTTCTCTTCACCAATTCTTGAATCAGCTCACAAATCAGCACCAGCATCTCCTTTCTTCATGTACCTAAGTTTTCTTGAAAATCATTCTTTAACATAAGAAAGGTGAACGTTTTTCTGTCCTGCAGAAACAGAAAAGCTTGTTTTGTCTTACACCTCTTTACTAAGTGCTTCATCACACTGTGACTCCTTGATACTCCTAGATCACTGGATTATGCAACACGGACCATAAAACAAAGAGAAAAAAACCTAACTAATGTTTGGAAATACTATTTCTGTAGATAAACAGGTTTTTGATTATTTAAGTTTTTATTTTTAAAAATAATATTTCAAAACCATGTAGGAGATACCTACTGCCATTGAATCGATTCTAACTCACAGAAACTCTACAGGACAGAGTAGAACTGCCCCCATATAGGGTTTCCAAGGCTGTAAATCTTTATGGTAGCAGACTGCCAGAGCAGCTGGCAGGTTTGAACTCGCAATCTTTTGGTCAGTAAGCAAATGCTTTAACCACTGTGCCACCACAGCTCCTTCACTACCAGACCTCTTTCTATAGGTTCTAAGGACAGAGAAATGGGTAAGGGAAATATCTGTACTTCTATACTTTCACTCCTTTTGACTACTCAAATTGTACCCTTTACATCCAATTTCTTTATTAAATAAATCAAATATATTTTCTTCCATTCTTGATAAGCGCCGTTTCATTTTAAGCACATAGAATTCACTATTAGTCTAGAATAAACTCTTGTAATTAGAGAATGTATAAAAATATCAACATTCAGTCTTATATTTATAGATATTCAACATATTTATACTTAATCCATAAAATTGAATAACCAGTTTATGACAAAGAAATGGCAAAAATTTTCCAAATAGATACCAACAAATTTTATTTAAATAATAACTTTCCAGAAGGATATTTATTTTTAATACATTACCCTTTCCACAACTTTTTTCCCCCTCTAAAATACCATTTTAATAAGACCACTATGGCCTACTCAAAGTAGTTCAAGCAGAGCCCTCAGAGGATACTGCACAATCTCAGCAGTAAAGCAGATAGACATGAAGGCAGATTAGCAATTAGGTCATGAAAAACAGGCAGCATAAAATAGCTATTGCTAATCTGCATGAGATGCATTTACTCAATTAAGTATATGGAAATGTTATTATGAACTCAGTATTCCAATGATGGTCTTTAAAATTAAGAAGGATAGGGGCAAATAAAATGCACACTGGGGGATTTGGGGCCTTTATATATTAATTCTAAAGTATACAATGCAGAACACTGTAATGAAGTTAACAAAATTAATTAAAAGATTCTTTGCACACAACCATTAGAGACTACATTAAAAAATACGTGACAGTTTCTGACATTATTAATAGTAAATGTGACTGTTCTTTAACACTTTTTATGTTGATACCAACACTTTTTCTAAATATATCAGTAATCTTAGAAACAAAAGCAATAGAAGTTGTATTACTCACAGCCTGCTGTGAGTGTTGTTTTTAAAAAGCTCTCTGCTACTAATTTATTCCCTTGTGGGTTTCAATAACTGATAAGCTAGTGATAAATTTTCAAACTTTTTAGAAAACTATTACATATTTTTACTGAAGAGCAGGGGGAGTTTTCAGATATATATTTAAAAATTTGTGTTTCTTTATATAATCTATTTATTAGACAAAATAAGAGAAAATTACGAAATCTGTTATGTGGATTGTTATCAAACTTTTAGGCAGAACAAAAATCTGAATAATTCTGGAAAAATGGTCACAAATGTCAAAAGGAGTTTTTGAATTGTGATAAATATCTCATGTTTAACCAGTATTTTTGAAGGGGACTCATGCATAATAATCTATTACTATTAGAGAATTCTAATATTATCCAAATTATACTTGTTAAATGGTTTTACTACAAAAAATATATAAAAATGATAAGCTGTGCATATAACAGCAACTAAATATAGTATATACATTTTTGCCTCTAGATGTAAATTTTGGGTTAGTTTGGTATTTTTTTTCTCTTCTTATATATGTGATTGTTTTCCTTCTTTGGACTAGTTTTAAAATGTTAAAAAATTTTATTTAATTCTTGACTTAAAAATAACAATACAAGCTGCTGTATGGAAATTAATATGCTCTGTAAATTTTCACCCAAATCACAATAAAAATTTTAATACATATATATATATATATATAAATTATATTTTAGAGTTTCGTTCAGTCATTAATTCATCTAATTAAAGTCATTTCAATTAACTGTTGTAAAATCAGCTTCTTTTTAAATCTTTTAGGTTTAATATGAAAATAATGTTGATTTTTCCACTCCTACCCACAACACACTAGGAGCTCTGGTAGCACAGTGCCTAAAGCATCTGACTGCTAACCAGAAGGCTGGTGGTTCAAACCCACCAGCCACTCCTCGGGAGGAAGATGGGGCAATCTACTTCCATAGTGATACTGCCTCGGAAACCCAAGGAGGGGTCGCTATGAGTCAGGTCTGACTCGATGGCACATAACAACAACAACAACAACAACACCCACAACACACACACCAGTCAACCTTATTAACCCTCTATCATCCTACATTTTTCCCTCTTAGCAAAAGTCTGCTTCAAACAACTATGTAGTTGATCCGAATATTATTTTATATTTGAAATTATTGGATATTCTTGAATTAAATAACGTACTCCTTGAGACAGTGTTCTATTCGTAAGTGCTCAGTTGACACCCATTAATTAATATTCATGGCATTACATGCATTCATATTTCCATCCATTCATGTACTTATTGAACATTTTTTACATGACAGGATATTGTATTCAATGCTACAAGCAACAAGATGAAAAAAAAACAGTCCCTGTCCTCAAGCTTCCAAGATAGCTTAGGGATTGTGTTAGGCAGAAAAGTGGTCCCAGAAGATGGGAAGTCCTAATCCATGAAACTTTTGAATATGTTTCCTTACATGGCAAAAGGAACTGTGTAGATGTGATTAAGGTTAAGGACCTTGAGATGGAGAAAAAATTCTGAATAACCCAAGTGGGCCCAATGTAATCACATGGGTCCTTAAAAGCAGAGAACATTTCCCAGCTGTGGTCAGAAAGAGATTTACAGTGAAGAAAAGCAAAAAAGAACAGTGAGAGACATGCAATATTATTGGCTTTGACCAGGAGGAGAGGGCCGTGATCCAAAGAATGTGGGCTTAGGGACAGGTTTTACTACCCTCTAAAGTATACAAGTAATAGTGTAAAATTATGCACGTTTATGTGTTTATAGGCATGAAGTAATTGGGTATGGTTATCTTTGTATTGTCCCCAGTGCCCAGACTGATATCAAGCACACCACACACTTTTCTAGGAGTCCAGGTACGTGAAAAGGAATGAAGTTTGAACCACAAATAATCATACTGGAATCTTAAAAACTACAGAGATTTCACCTCCATAAAATCAGTCAATTAGCATTTCCTGAGTACTTCCTATAAACAGAAACTCCTATAAACAGGTACTTGGGTAGACATTTCAAAAAAAGAAAAACCAGATAAATTTCTATTGTCATGGAGCTTACTGGGAGAATCATATTGTAAACAAAATAATATCAATTAATATTAACTAGTGTGCTCTGGTAGCATAGTGCCTAAGGCATCTGACTGCTAACCAGAAGGCTGGTGGTTCAAACCCACCAGCCACTCCTCGGAAAGAAGGTTGGGCAGTCTACTTCCATAGAGATACCATCTCATAAACCCAAGGAGGGGTCGCTGAGTTGGAACGGACTCAAAGGCAGTGAGTTTTTTTTTTTTTTTTTTGGTGAGTGTTAAGTACTCTGAATAAAAAGAAAGCAAGGTAAAGAGAAAAATTACATGAGTAGGAAGGTACAGATATGGAAAAATTAGACAAATGGACCAAGATTAGGAAAATGCGTACTTTAATAATATGTTCAACTTTTTCTATAATCAGCAAGAACTATACACTGTCTTCAGTTTTCAATGAAATACCTCACGGTAAAGTACTGATAATTTATTAAAGGTTTTTGATATAACAATATTGAAAATTAAAAATTACATTCAGAACAAAAATCATTGATATCTTCAGATGTTTTCATCTACTACTACTATAATAATAGCAAGTTGGGTGATCATTTGATTAGGTTTGGCAGTAAATATCAATTATAGTTATAGTCCTACAGTTTAGGACTTAGCAGATTTTGGATGTCTATTAGAGTTGAGGAACTGTTATGTCTCAAGTTGATTTTACTCTTCTATTATTGGACTGTGGATGGTTCACTAACTAATAATAAAGTATATTGTACTTATAATAAATTAAGTTCAAATGACTCTATTTAGGGAGTGGCAAAGTGGTATAATCCAAAAAACCAAACCTACTGCCATCAAGTTGATTCTGACTCACAATGACCCTACACGACAGAGTAGAACTGCCCCATAGGGTTTCTTCAGCTGTAAATCTTTAGAGACAGATTTCCGCATCTTTCTCCCAAACAGTGGCTGGTGAGTTCAAATTGCTGACCTTCTGGTTAGCAGCCAATGCTTTTAACTACACCATCATCTTTAAGGTGGTATAAAAAATCAAACCAAACTCACTGCCATCGAGTCGATTCTGACTCATAGCGACCCCTATTGGGTTTCTGAGGCAGTAAATCTTTACGGAAGAAGATTGCTCAGTCTTCCTTTTACAGAGTGGCTGGTGGGTTTGAACCACCAACCTTCTGGTTAGTAGTCAAGTGCCAAAAGCATTATGCCACCACAGCTCCTTTGAAGGTGGTATAGGAAGTTTAATTACTACTAAATTTAAAGGAAAATTCAACTTTAAACAATTAGCTTTATATGATATTGTTAACACAATAAGATAATGTTTGAAACTCACTTTGAAGTGTTTCAAGTTCCGCTCTAGTCAATGCATCTTCCTTTTCCTTCAATTGTGTTTCTTTGTATTTAGCATATAACTGCCCAGCATCCTTAAAAAAAGAAGTTACAAATAAACATAAAATCACCAGTTTGCTTTGACCTTATTTTCCACATAACTTCATTTTAAACCAGCATATTCATTTTACAAATACTCTTTCTTTGTGTTTATGCTTTATCATTTTTGATGAACAGAATACATTTAAACACTTCTTTATGATTTCACAGTCAATCTCAGAAGCTGATTAAGGCCTAACATTGCATGAGTATAAATTTAAGTAAATGGTTTTCTCTCAGATATGATATAGAGATATCCCCTTCCTGACTCCTTCCTTTATATGGTATTTCTTTTCAATGTGCTATTGCATGGACACAACATAGAAAAGCACGCTGCTGAACCAAGTGACCAATAAATTACTAACACTATTTTTATATTAATCACAAAAGATCAATAGATATGCAAAATTATTATATGCAAATAGTACTACCTTCAGTGGCACATATATTAAAGAAAATTAGTGCATAAAAGTATCAGCTTTTTAAAATTTAATAACACAAGTTCAACCTAGATATAATTCTCAGGCCCTTAAAGAAATGTATTGGTACAGAAAACAACTTTAGGTCTAAAAAAGGATGTAAGTTTGTAGTATAAACTAGGGGTTTATCTTTTTGATGCACTCTTCAGGAAAGGTCATATAGTTAACAGAAGGAGCTTCTCATTCCAAAGAATGAGTCCTAGGAGCTACGACAGCAGCTGTGACTGTGAGTTTCTCAAAGGGACAGATTTTAAACTAAGCTTTCATAATATCATAAGATCCCTAGCATCTAGCCAGGCACAAGCTAAGTATTCAATATATATTTGAACTGAATTCCTTGGAAGATGACTCTGAAGATTCACAATTTTTATTATGAAGTATGTATGACCAATTTCTCCTTCCATGACCCTCAGAGACCAGTATAAAACAATTCCTATTACAGAGTTTGGGACTGAGGACATACTAACAATTAAGCATCAGGATTGTTATTGTTGTTGTTATGTGCCGTTGAGTCAGAGTCTGACCCCTCCTTGGGTTTCTGAGGCAGTATCACTACAGAAGTAGATTGCCCAAACTTCCTTCCGAGGAGTGGCTGGTATGTTTGAACTGCCAGCCTTCTGGTTAGCAGTCAAGTGCCTTAGGCACTACACTACCAGAGCTCCCAAGCATCAGGATACAGTGACTAAATTCTCAAGTGGAAATAATATATCCAATCAAGTGACAAAGACTTTAGGAAAGTAATGAAGAAAGACTAGCCCTTAAATACTCACAGACATAGAAATAAGTAAGTTAATGTTCTACGAGCTGAACATTTACATTAGCTAGATACACCCCTTGGAGAGATCAATAATAGGAGAATAGAAGGGCTGCTTATGCACAGGGAGACAGCTCGTAGGGCAGGAGTACATGGGAGGGAAGGACACAGGTAAGAGGTAACTATGGGGAGGAAGTGGGAGGGGAGTTGTTATATTGTGGGAAATTGCAGTCAATGTCATGAGACAAAGTGTATGCCAACTGCTCTATGGAAAGTGAATTTGATGGAGGAGTTCCGGCAAGACGGCGGACTAGGCAGAAAGACTGCACAGACCCTCTTCAACAAAGAAAAGGGAAACCAATTAACACAGACACAGAAGATAATCCTGGACCCCTG